CTTGAGCTGTAGCTGGGCAGAGTTGCACAACAATTTCATCTGTCATTGAGACATTTCTATAAGCATGGGGAGGAGGTGGATGAAAGGAAATGTAAAATATACGTAGAGTGGTATAGGTCTTATCACTGGCTGATAATGGTCTATATTAATGCCACTGTTGACTGCTGTTCACTTTACACGGTTCAAATGTTATTCTGTTATAGTTTATTAAATATTTTATTACACTATTTGGTTCAGAATATATTTTCCCTGTGTCCCTCCTCTAAAAATTAGATGCGTCTTAAGGTCAGGTGCATCTTATGGAGCAAAAAATACGGTAATTTCCAAAGGAAACAGAAGCTCTTAAGCTGAGGTACTGCTGCAGCAGTGGCAAAAAAGGAACTGAGGCACTCCATGCTGTGGGCGGGCTCAAGAGCGACATGAGGGAGGTCCTAACAACATGTGTTTAAGTTCTAGAAGATTTGAGGCTCTCTGCACAAGCGCACTAAAACCCATCGGTGTGCATTCACAGAGACCACAAAGAAAAATAGTACTTCACTGAAAGTTTTCTATTTTTGATTCCTGCCTTGACAATAGAGGCTAACTTCACTCCTCATCTCCTTTGGAAATCAGCTGCTTTTCACTCCAACTCTTTGAAAAATGCTGCAGATAGGCTATTTTTTTAATTTTGGGGACAGGATAAGTGCTCTCATTGAAAGCTTCCCATCTCAGCCCTTAACAATAGAGGCTCTCTCCAGACCTAATTACCTTTGGAAATCAGCTGTCTTTCACACCAACTCTTTGAAATAATGTTGCAGACACCCTTTAGATAAAAATGATCTATGTTGGACTTTTTGTATGTGTGGGGTGTTTGCTAGTGGATTATCACTAACATGGAAAGCTTATAAATTCAAAAAACTCTTGACACCTAAAACTTGCTGTTTTTTGCAGAGCAAATTGTGCAAAAACAAACAAAAAGATGGGGAAATAATAGTTGTGGTTGTTCTCAGGGACGGCAGAAAAGAGAAATGTGTTTTGGTAGTCTCCCTTTTTTTTGGAATCCAAGTCTCAGAATTTCAGCCCACAAACACACACCTGCCAACACCTTCATTCCATTCACCTGGAGAAAGGTAGAGCCCTCTTCTAGGCCTTATTTCCTGCCCCAATGCTTTCTGTGAAAAAGCAGCCGCAATACTTCCTAGAGGCAGTGGTCTCATTGGACTTTATGCTTCATTTCCTGAAGAACTCCATCCACTGCCCCAAACTCCTGGATTCGGAGTCCAAAAAAATTGAATGTGACACCCCTAGTAGAAAATCCCCTGGGTGTACAGAAGGTCCTAATGAGACCTTTCATCATGGCAAAATTTTCAAAATTGCCTAGAATTGGACATTTCCTGGGAAATCATCATATTCCCAACCTTTGCTATTATAGTTAAAATAATGAATTCCTAGGAAATGAAAGGAGTTCTGTAGGCCTTTTCTTATTTTCTATCATAATTACTATCCATTATCAGCGAAGCGAAGCCTACATGACTTCATTTTTAAAAGTGAATATTCTGATCATTCCTCTGCCAAAATACCAGCAGCCACCAGCACACGTTTGTCCTAAAAACTATTATATGCTGTATGTACCTCTGTTAAGTTGTCCATATTCTGTGTGGAAGACGCCAATCAGCTTAGTGTATCCTGTCTTTACATGGGCATTAACTGCTGCTTTAAATGACTGGCCCCATACTGCTGGTCCACCAGGTTTCATTTGGAAGGTAACCAATTCATAAACTCCTGAAAGAGAAATAGGAGAAAAATCTTAGAAGCAAGGCGTCTAGAATTAGCAATGGCCTTCTGATAGACGTTAGTCAGATTAGTGCATATTCTGCAAATGAAAACCCACAGAGGACATGAGCAGAATTTAGAGCTTTTAATTTTAAAAAGCTTCAAAATCCTTGTGACTAAACAGAAACAATTTGAGCGACTGTGGAAACTCACGAGTTTTCTAAAGGCAAAAAGTGCTTATCTGGGTGTTAGCAGCTGGAGGCATGAATTCAATGCCTTCACAATGCCCTTCCAGCTGCCTCGGACCTTGCAAAGTGAAGGGAACCATGCAAAATAATGAAACATACACATTGCTATGCACACACAAACCACAGAATTCAGAGTGTCTTGGAGTAGGAAGGGAAAATGATGGGCAAAATGCAGGCAGTCCTTTTAGAATTTAGAAGAAAAAGTTATAATGAAGGAAGAAACACTGAAAAGTGTATAAACATTGGGAAACCTACACCAGTGCTGTTACTTTTGAATGAAAGCAGTAGTCTTCCACTTTCAAAAAACCCTTGAGTCACTGATCTGTCCTCCGAGAACTCCCCCTACATTGGTTGAGTGACTGTGCACACTGCAATGGATTCTGGGTGCACTTTCCGGTGCGTGCTCCATTCATGTGCACAGTTGGACAGATCTAGCTGGGCTGCATAATCATTCTGATTGAACTGAAATGGCACTATAATGCACATGAACACTTCCTACCACTGCACAATGTAGAGGAGCAGCAGAAGTGGTGGTGCACAAATGGCATGTACCATTACTGGGCTGCTAATGAACCCTGGTCTTTGAAAAGCAAGTTCCTGGTCTTTATGTCTGGAAAGAAACGAAGCAATCTCGAAACCCACTGCATGGCAGAATTTACTGTACTTTAGAAAAAAAAACTGAGGAAAAACTGCCATCTGTCCACAGTTCTAATTCTATGCGGAAAAGCAACTCATTTCATAGCAGAGTCAATAATTTTAAAGCAAAACACTGCAAAACAAACAAACCATCCTTTTCAGGCCTCCCAAGTTGACACCAAGGTACAAGGTAGGCAATTTCGTTATCTTGTTTGTCTAACAAAGGCAACATCTGAGACATATATTTTTCTTGCCATTCCTGGTCTTTGGCCAACGCTGTCCGGACAGCAGCTCTTTGCGCAAAACTCCCTGCAAAGAAAGGCAAGGCATGTTAGGCTTGTTAGAGAAAGACACCCAGTGTATTTAGTCATTTGAGTTACCTTCCCAGTGTCCAAACCAAACAAAATGACAACTGTAGGGTAAATGAAATGACAGCTAAGAAAACTGAGAATGCCAATTGCTGTTCTCCATTGCTGCCATGCTGTCTTCGCAAGCTGGCCTTCCAAACCCTCTTAACGAAGGTCTGCTAACTTTGTGTAAATATTTCAGCCACCTGAAAAACTCTCTGGAATTATTGTGCTTGGCTTTGCCCAAGAATGGAAGAAAAGGAGGTCTGGGGGAAGATAACTAGGCTCGATGGTTTCCTATGGGAGTTGGGGGGTTGACCAACCAGCAAGAGCTAGGCCCTCTGGGGCATGGGGAATGCTGGGAGTTACAGTCTTGCTGCCCATTTGGCTTTATATAGGATGGTCTCCCAAAGAACTATGACTCTGAGGAATCACAAAAACAGCTGCTTCTCCCCCCGCTTTTCCTTTTAATCAATAACAGAAGACAAAGGCCTGAGAAGCCAATGGTGGGAGCATAGCTGTGTCAGAGGTAAATAACCCAAAAGCCCTTTTCTGGGGGGCAAAATCTAGAGGTCTGAAGATTTGCATTTGTGGACTGCAATTCCAAGAATTCTGCCTGGTGACTTCTTGGAGAATTCTGGGAGTTGTCCAAAACATGAAAGAGCCAACTCCTATTGGCAAACCAGAATCAAGATGTGTAGTTCAGTTTTCATATACCTACCTGCTTCTTAATGACAGAAGAAAACTGGAACTGGGCATGGTATAACAACAAATTAGCAAGTGTTTGCTTCTGAACAAGCAACCAAGCAACAATTCATAGTTTCATAAGTTAAAATAAATCTCTCTGGTTAATCAGCTGAAGTTTCAGTTGGGTTTCTTTACCAAGTAAAGCTTGCACCCTTTGAAAGGCCTGCAACAGCAAGCAAAACTTGCAATGAAAATATAACTTTCCACACTTCTCAGATGTGTTAGTGCTTTGCATGTACCAATTTATGCTATCTCCCTAACCAGAGGGCAGAGAACTACAAAGGTTGTCAGATGGAGGCTTTGTAGAATTTATCCTGTTCCTTCCCCCAAATTCAGTAGCAATCTCCAGTTTCAAAGGTATACCAACTCCAAATCAGCATGCAGGTATAAGCTTAGAGTGCCGGAAAGGCATTATTGTGACTTCCAAATTATTCTAGTGATACAAAATTAAAATGCCTTTGATTCTGCTGCAATAAGAGTTCAATAACTGAAGGAGCACAGGTGAAACAGCCTCCCAAAAGGCACTACTGCCCCTCATCTGTTGCTATGGGAAACATCCTTGTTAAGTTATAGTAGTGGCATAACAGCTTCCGCACCGACTCCTTGCCACGTTCTGTGAATACCAAGAGAACACTGCACAGAAGGCCCAAAGCAACAGTCTTATTACCTGCTCAGATATATACAAGGAACTAGGATCTATGCATACCATATTTCCAAATATGGAATACTTTGTTTAGTCCCCCAAATTCTAAGGTCCAATATCCAATCATCTGGGAATGGGCTGTGCGGAGGTGAATGTTTCTACTTGTCAGCTCCAGAAAATCTTTCATCTTGTCTGGCTTAACTGTATAGGTACGAAACTCATAAAATGTGCCATCCTCTTGTCTGGGCCCTGTAGCAAAAGATGATGAAACCTGAGATGGGGAGGGGGGAAACAACATGTAAGAAAATGATCCACAAATTCAATTTCTTCATTTGCATATGCAGTATGAACTTGAAGGATAAGACAGAGACTGGTTACTATGATGGCAACAGCAGCCAGGATGCAAAGCCCATTCTGGCTAATCTTGCGCAGCTAAAATTGTAAGGTAAACTGAAGCCATAAGATGCTGTAATAACCACCAGTCTGGATATCTTTAGAAGTGGGTTAGACAAAACTGTAGGACTACTTCATGACAACTAGTCATGACATTAGTATATTACCTTTAGGTTCAGAGGCAGCCTGCTGTTGAATACCAGCTGCTAGAGCACAAAGTGGTGCTAGTACAGTATGCTCATGCCTTATGAAGGCTTCCCATAGGCATATGGCTTGTAGGCATGGGACTTTCAGGTTTGGGGGTTTTTTTGGACTAGTCTCCAGATGTCTACAGGAATTTCCTCAGCTAGACTTTGAGAGGCTTTAGCTGATAAATCAAAATGTTCACAACTGTTTTTAATCACTGAGAGGTGGAGAAAGGAGGCTCCATCTGGCTCATGCTGCTGAGTCCATAAAGACAAAGGAAGCAGCTGGGAGGAACTAAACTTCATGGGAACGGCAAGGCATTGGGGCTTGGTAGTCGTCCTGCCCATTAGGTTCTGTAGTATACAGGGTGTCTCTCACAGAATTACCAGTACAATGTCTTGTAGCTCCCACAGAGCTTAGCCCCTCTCAGGCACTTTTTCTGTTGCACTTTACATCTAAGAAACCCTGGAAAGGATCACCTGTAATTACTGTACTATTATTATCAGTTTTGGGTGGGCTTTCACTTCAGCCTGCAATCATGGGTTTTTCAATCCAAACATTGAAGAAAATCATACTGGACAGTATCCTGTTAAATATTTAATTCACAGAACCTCAAGTGTGAAAGCTGCCATAACCATTTGATGACCTACCACTCCTAAGTGCCTGACCATGTCATGCAGTTGCATTGCCGCAGCAGCTTCTACAGCTAATAAATACTGGACAGGACACTGACCACTGCATGTCTTACTTCCAGTTGCGTATGTACACATCTGTAACCTAGTACAAAAGAGTATTTCAGGTTACATTTTAGACCCGCACTTTGGTCTTTCCTAATCTCACAGATATCTGAGCTATGCAAAGATTAGAAAGTGCATTACATAGATATAACCCAACTGGATTTGTTTTCCAGTTAAATTCAATTTATGTGGCAATAAGGTCATTTTTACTATCTTCACATTAACATTATTTCAATCTCTGTGCATCGTCAGAACACAAAGTATTGACAGCTAACAATGAACTCAATTAAAGCTTAAAGAACAACAAAGGACTGAGAAAGTTATTAATAACTGCTTCTATACTTTGTGTAAATGTTGCCTTCATCATAAAAGACTGAGCTAAATGCTTCTACACTGTTTTTAAACTACCAGAAAGTAAACTGGTACCACCTGAGACATGTACAGTTCATATTTCAGAGCTATTATTTCTACTGCTTCCCAGTCTTTGCTGTTTCATCTTTTGCTTTCTGAGAGAGACCACTGAGAGCTGGGTAAAGTCACTGTGAGGCAGTTATAGGGCCGAACACGTTAGAAGAATTAGACTAGAAGGACTTGCCACTCAAACACAAAACATATTGGTTGAGGTTGGCCCAATCTATCACAGACCTAATTTTATCTGTCTCAGTTATTTCAGGACAAATGGTAGCAGAGACGAAAAGTCATATATGTTGCCTAAGCACCTCAAAACAAGGCTAGGATAATAAATAATTGCCTTGCAATTAAGCTACCATCTCTGATATCATTTCAAAATATATTAAATAGCAGCATTTATGTGGTGTGGTGTAGCAAATAGAGTGACGGACTATGACCCTGGAAACTAGAGTTTGAACCCCCACCTGGCTTTGGAAAGTTCATGGGGCAGTAGAACAGATAAAACCACTCCTTAAATATGTCATGTACCTTGGAAGCCCTGTTAAGGTTGCTATAACTCGGTTCCGACTTGACACCAGAGAACACACACACAGTTGCCAAACCAAAGAAAAAGACAGGCTTGAAGAAATGCCATTAAAAAAAAGAAAGCCAATCCATTCAAAAAGCATGTATTTTGGGGCGTGGTGGTTACAAACTAGGGCACGTGTAAGTAATGGAAAAGGTATCAATAGTCACAAACAAAAATAAAACCAGTAATTTTCAACCAACCCAGTCCTAACCGTATTGGCTACCACTAGGCTATGTCTGATAGCAGGCGTGGACAACTGTAGAGTCCCCAGATGGACTCTTAGTTCCTACAATCCCTCACCATTGGTTCTGCTGGTTAGGTTAATGGGTGATGCACTGCAGCAACATATGGAAAGCCAGGATGGCCCATCATTGTCTTGCAAGGTGCAAATCAGCACTTTCCAGAAGAAAATTGTTGCAGTTGCAAATGTTTTGGTACTCACATGTTCATTTCTTTGGTTTGTGTTAGAACACACAAAAAAGAGGAAAAAAGTCACTGTAAACAGTGCCATGATGTCTGTTACCAAAAAGCTCTACTTTTGTCTCATCTGTCCACAGTACATTCTCCAAGGAGGATTGTGGTTTTGTCACATAAGTTTTGGCATACTCGTCTTTTTTTTTATGCCTTTGTGTCAGCAGTGGTGTCCTCCTGGGTCTCCTACCATAGCGTCCCTTTTCATTCAAATGGTGACAGATAGTGCGAGCTGACACTGTTGTACCCTGTGTCTGCAGATCAGCTTGAATTTGTTGAGAAGTTAATCTGGGTTCTGTATCCACCATTCAAACCACCCTTCGTTGAATTTTTTTCAGTCATTTTGCTCTTCCGTCCACCTCCAGAGGTTAGCTACAGTGCCATGGGCTGTAAACCTCTTGATGATATTGCGCACAGTGGACACAGGAACATTAAGATCTCTGGAGATGGACTTGTAGCTTTGAGATTGTTTATGTTTTTCCACAATTTTTTCTCTCAAATCCATGAACCCTTTACACTTCATTCTTTTCTCCATACTCAGTGTTACACACAGCACAAAGGTTGAGTCAAGTTTCCCCATCTTAATTGGCTGCAAGTGCAATTACTATATTGCCCCCACCTCTAACTTGGAACAAGTGTGTATAAATACAAATTAAAGGAGCATCACCTGCTTGAAAAGCAATTATTTCTCACAATTTAGACAGGGTGCCTATAATTTTGGCCAGTGCATTTTTCGGTTTCTGTGTGGGATTGTTTCAGATTTAACCTTTCTTCTCTGTTTGTGTGTGTGTGTTGTTCCAATGCAAACCAAAGAAATGAACATGTGAGTATCAAAACATTTGCAACTGCAACAATTTTCTGAGAGAACGGTTACATCTTCTGACAGAATTGCAAGGGTGCCAGTATTTTTGGCCATGACTGTACTACTTTTTCAAAGCATTACACAGAAACCTGAGATGCCTATGAAGCCATGGGGAGAAGGTTGTGTGGTTCTATGAATGGTATGGTAGACTACTGTTCTCTCAAGATCTCTAATGGAGAGTTTGATGGTTAATCAGCAGCGTGAAGTTAATATGGACTAGGGTGGGCAACAGTAACCTTACAGACAGGAATGGACTACCGTTCTCTTCTGCCCTAGGCAGCACAATTAATGGAGTGGTATGATAGGAGTTTCAGTTAACAACTGGAGAGCTATCAGAATGTGTGACTGAGATGTGTGGGAGAGAAAATTGCTCGAGTAGAATAGCCAACACATTTGTTAAGGTGGGGAGAAAAACTACTAACAATGTATTTCCATCTCAGAATTTGGGATTTCTGGATAGGGACTTCTTTCCAGTGGAAGAATATCTGTTGCTCCCCTTAACAATCTGGAACCACCGTATCTCAGAGAGATCCTCGTCTTAGTAACAACCTGCTCAGTACCCTGAGGTCTCAGAAAAGAGGTCGCACTAGCCCTGAGGTCTTTTCGGAGGCTGCTCGGAGCAGAGATTTTATTAGTGGCATACAAATGTTAATCTTTAGGGTTTATGTAGTCAGAATTATATATTAAATGGATATGGCCTAAAGATGCTTAGTAGGGCAATATGGTTTATGTAGTCAGGTTTATATGTTAGATGGATATATTCTCCCCACATGTCTTGTGTTTGTTTTGTATGTTTGTCTGTGTTTAATAAATAAATAAATTTTTAAAAAAAGGGAAAAAAAGTGGCATACAAATACCATCCACTTCAATTCAGTCTGAATCATCTACCTTACAAATGGCAACCATACCATTTCAATTTGACCCATTTGTAGTTCAACCAAACATTTGTATTCTTATGTGTCTGAATAGCACAAATACGCAAAAATGGGGGGGGGGAAGTGTTTTGATTTGGATGAAACCCAGTGGTGTCAACCTTCTTCCTCGCCCAGCTCCCCTTCCCTTCCTTGAATCCATCCTGTATCAACGGAGGACTCTTGCCTAGCTCTCACTCACCTTTGGATCCTCTGAAACGAAAGTGGCTGCCCAGGATTTTTAACCCCCCGAAGTGCTGAGGCAACATGTGAAGTTTTGAACAGTCTAGATTAGATTCAAACGCTATTTTGGATCCCTTCAAAAATGGACAAAATACTGCAGCTTATTTTTTCTCTTTGGCACAGACCTGGGATGCAAAACATATCCCTGGATTTTAGCAACTCAGCCCCGACTCTTATGGAATTAATTCCCTACCAGTTTGGGTGCCCGTGCATCCATATTGTTTTGCTTCCACACAATCGGTTTGCGTTTCACTTCAAACAAGCCTTTCCTGACTAAATTATAAACCACGACGGTAAGAACAACAAATCTTGTAGACTTTAAGATTTCATTGGACACGAACCTTTGTGGGCTACAGCAACAGTCCTACGTAGGTGGTTTCACGGATTGCAATCGTTCTGATGTTTCGGTCTATTTAGGTTTTATTTGCAAACTGCACTGGAATATTAAACCAACGGTGCATGTCCCCAACAGAACAGGAAGAGGGCTCCTGGCACCATCGCCCTGTCCCAGCCCGAGAGGAGCCCCTCATAATAGAGAAGTTCCAGCCAGGGCTGGAAGTGGGAGCAGCCCCAGGCCCAAATTCCCGCATCATGGAGCCGCAAAAGCCCAGCGGGCTTCCCGGAGGGTTCCTTCGACGTGACTGCTCTCACGGTACTTTCCACGGCTTCCCGCCCCCACCACCACCCGGACCTTAAAGCTGTTTCCTTCAGCCCCCCCCACCTCAGTGCTTCCCTTTCTGTGTGCCTTTAAGAGGTAAGGAAGCAAGGCAGAAATCCCACAGGGGCAGCTCCTCGCCCTTGGGGTGCGCCTCTCAGGTAAAGGGGGGCAACTCCGTCCCAGGCGACGACCGCCCCCCAACTCAGGAGGGGCGCCATTTTAATCTCTTTCTGGGACGCCTTCTCGCTCCCGCGGCTCCTTTACCTGGGCCGGGACCCCGCTCGGCGCTGCCGCCGCCGCGACCACCCTGAGGAGCCTCAGCGAGGCCAACATGGTCTGTGCGGAAGGAGGAGATGCGAGCCAACGCCCCTTAGCCCTCTTCCAAGCGCCGGGCCGTTCCGCCTGCCTCGCCTGACCCGCCCCTTGTCCAAGTCCCCTCAGCGAGGCATTGGGCGGCGCGGCCCTAGCCATCGTCTGACGCCGGAGAGCCACCCCCTCCTCCTGCCCCTTCCTTCCCGCACGCCCTCCCACCTCTGCTGCTGAGGCGACGGCCCCTCTCGCTCATGGAGGGACATCAGCCCTCGAACGGAGGCAAAAGCTTCTGCCCCCCCCCCCCCCGGGCCCGGGGGCGGAGGCCTCCCCCGCCCTGGTC